GTGTGTGTGTCTGTGTACTGTCAGATCAGATCTGACTGGTACAGGAGGAGATTGTCCCTCCTGTCCCGGCAGAGCATCTGGTGGATTCGAAACATGCGCCTCTGGGATTGCAGTGCAGCTTCTTGCCACTAGGTCACCAGAACTCCCCAGAAAATTCTTTTCACTTAACTGCTACCCTGTAGTATAGGTTGACCTGGCTCCTGTAAGGATCACTACCAGGAAAGATCCCGACACAGCTCTGCCTCATGGGATGTGTTAGGCTGGCACTGTGGGGTTCGCTACCAGCATGTTTCTGGATTTCCTTTGTGGGGGTAGGACCAGAGGCTGGGTCCTTAGACACAGGCTGTGTGGTGCTCACTCTCCAGGCCTGGGGTCCTTCCCATCTCAGGAGAGAGCAGAACAATAATGTGTAGAAATGCTTCTAGAGGGATGATAGAACCTAGGAGGTTACAGAGATTGGGGTGGGCTGGCAGTCGGCGCCCTCGAAGCCTGGCCATCTGTTGTTCGCACTGTACAGAGGGCCAGCATTGCTGTAGCCTGGAAAGTACCTTTGTAGTAGGTTCTGTCCTCGTTCCCACCTCACAAAGAACTCAAGGTCCACTGCACCTTCGTGCCTTGGAGAGGAGCTCTGGGTTTCTTTTCCCTCCTGTCCCAGCTGCCCATGGCACATCAGCACATCATTTCTTCATCCTAGTTGCATTTTCATCACAAGCCCAACCAGCGCTGAAAATCTTGTCCCTCGTCCCTGCAGTATGTGGGCTCAAGGAGGTGGGCTCAAGGCACAACTGCCCCTTCTCCAGCTGTCATTAATTGTGCCTTGCAGCTTTAGCAAATGCAGGCCAGCTTGGAAGAGTCTGGCCTGAACTATTCTGCTCCTTTGCGCCCAGATCCAGAGATACCACTCTAGGCTTCTGGGGATCCAAGGCCAGGGGAGGGACTGGAATCATTTCTTCTAAGCAAATCCCTTTCTGCCTCTCAGGTGTGGCCAGCACAGGATAGTGCTGACAGCAGCCTCAGGAGGCATCTCTAGAGAATGAGGAAGTTTGGCATTTGGAGTCAGATGATTTATGATTGACAGGAAGCTGCTGGAAGTTTAGGTGCCTTCCAGAGAGGGCCTATGTGCCTGAGGGTGGTGATCAATGCAGCTGGCATTTCAGGTCCAGCTGGGCCTGTCCTCAGCTGCATCATGGTAACTATGGTAATGACCCAGCCCAGAACTAGAGGGGCCTGTTGGAATCTTGTGTCAGAAACCTATTCTTAAGCTTTTAAAAAAAAGTCACAGTGGAGAGGCTAAGAATGTAGGACCAGTGAGTGCTGAGAAGGATTGAGGCAGGTAGACATGAGGTTATTTCTCAGGCTCAAGAACTGGGGGGGGGGAGGCGATAACAGGAGGGACCTGATCAGAAGCCACTTTAAACCTTCCTTGCTGCAGCCTGTCAGTCAGGTGGGGGTTAGAGCAGTGGGTGGGTAGACAGGAGTCAGGTGGGGGTTAGAGCAGTGGGTGGGTAGACAGGAAGAGCCTGGCCTTCAAAATACATCTGGCCCAAATGGTGACTCACAGGTGACCTTGGGCAAAGTAAGCTCCTTGGGATCCTATTACAGCAGCAGCTGCCTTCTTTCCTGATGCCTGGAGGGCACAGTCAAGCCCTGTTTACCAAAATAAAAGTGCCAGGGCGCAGTGAGGGAGGAAAGGGTGTCTTTTATGTGTTACCAGCATGTGCAGATTCCCCCAATGGTTCGAATTGAAAATCTGGACCCTGCTCCACAAGCTAATTTCTCTCTTACAATAAAATAATAAATTCCTGAGGTTAAGTCTTCCTTGCTTGCTTTTTCCTTCTAGCCGTTTCATCCAGGGAACAAATGTCCATTGCCCTGCCTGCCATCCTGCTGTCTGAGAATGGAGGGGAGAGGGAAGCGGGGAGACTGAGGCTCCAAGAGGGGTTCTCCATGAGTCAGGACAGCTGGGCTCTTTGAGAGCCTGTCATATGGTGCAGGGCAGGGGCATCTCAGCACACCCCTGGGGAAGTTCTCATTTGACTTTCCCACTTAACGTCATGCTTTACTCAGTTGTGGAGTCAAAACATAACAGGCAAAAGTCTTCTTTCTTCACTACAGTTTCACCCTAGTAGGCAAATGCTTAGTCTAACTTTAGTTGTGGGATTGGAGAAGAGCATTGAATAGCCCATAAACTGCCAACAGAACAGACAAATAATGTCTTGGAGGAAGTGCAACCAGGGTACTCCTTGGAGGCAAGGATGGCAAAGCTTCACTCACACACTTAGAGCGTGTTGTTGGGAGGGACTATTCTTTGGAAAGGGACATCATGCTAGGAAAGGTAGAGGGTCAGAGAAAGAGAGTCAGACCTGTATGTTGTCAGGAAGGGCCAGTCCTTGGAGAAGGACGTCATGCTGGAAAACGTGGAGAATCAGTCTAAGAGAAAGATCCACAGCAATATGGACTGACACAGTGACCAACAGTGAGCTCAAATATTTATGTTTGAGATGAGACTTGCACACAATAGGGCAGGGTTCAAGTTTAAAGGGTTGCTATGAGTCATAGTTGACTTGATGGCACATAACAACTTAGGTTCCTTTGGCTCATATTGGTGACTGTGTGAATGAGTACATCTCAGTGTGAGAAGAGGTGCCCTGTGACCAGCTGAAACCAGCTTCTGGTCTCATTGAGAGCTAGGGGGACAGTGACACTCCAGGGCCTTCACTGCGTGGAGCTACTGTCCTCCCCGTGGGAGATGGAAGATGAGGAGCAGCAGTTAAGGACAGTTAAGTCTCTTAGATGCCTTTGTGTTGGTCCGCGCTACTTGCCAAGTCTGGCTCTGCTGGCTGCAGTGCTACAGAGCTCCCCTAATAAGCAGTTTTTGCCCTGTGATTCCTAGCACTTCCGCTCCCGACCCAAGTACTTTTGATTCCTTAATGACCCAAACTTTTTTTCACTGGCAGAGAGTATATCTTTCTAGCTTTACCTTGATGGATTCATAGCTCTGAGGGTAGCTCTGACTGAATTCATTAGTATTTGACTAATTAAATAGAACTTCATTAAAATATAACTTTTTAGGATTGATTATCTCCACTAGAGACAAATGAAACTGCTATCTTTCTATCTCTGGTACTTGGCGATTCTGAGCAGAGTGGGACAGGGTGTGTTGACTTGGGTTTGGGATCTAGCTGTGTGTGTCCTGAAAGAAGTCACTTTGCCCCTTCTTTCATCTAGTATCTGTGACAGAGCCCCCAGAGGGTGGTAGGGAAACCCTAGTAGGGTTTGCCTCTGGGGAGAAAGACAGCCATTTTCCTCCCAAACAATTTGCATCTTTGGAAATGGGGTATGAGTCAGTTCTGATTCCATAGCAGTTAGATTTTTTTATTTGAGCCCTCTCCTTTACCATTAAAAAAATGTGTCATGGAGTGTAAAGAAAGCCATACTGCCTGCCTGTGTGTCAGAGTGGATCATACTGCATACAGCTCTCCATGGCTGAGCTGGGGACCAGAATCAGAGCCTGCCTTTGCTCGGTAGCACAGTATGCTGGATGGTGCCACCTGAGTGCTGTTCACCTTTTGGAAGTGACCACAAGGCCTTTATTCACCTGTGCTTCTGGGTGGATTTGAACCCCCGACTGTTTGGTTAGTAACCATTTGCATCGCCTAGGACTCCATAGGAGCATATATAGCATTTATGTATAGTAAAGGTAACATGCTTGTGCTTGCCGCCTAATCTAAGAGACAGAATATTCCTAATAACTTTAAAACTCCAAACCATTGCCATTGTTTCTTCATTCAGTTAAACCTACTTATTAAATTAAAATTTGGTAAATTTTTCAGAAACACATGAAGGCACAAAAGAGTGCCCAGCCTACAGGGTAATGTTTATCAGAGCTGCTCACAGCCTGTGGCAGGGCAGCGAGTGACAGGCGCCATGAAGCTCTGCCTCTGGCTGGTTATTCTTGGAAACATTAGGAGAACATTTCCACACCTGCCTCCCTGACCCTGCCTTCCCCATGCCATGTGCATGTCCGAGAGCTACTGCAGGCAGCTTTTTAGAAAGTATTCAGAAGAAAGCCAGGAGACATCCCATCTCCTTGAGTTTCTCTTTCCATGATGACCGGTACCTAGTGGGTTTCTAGACTTCTCCAGCCCATAGGACTGGATTGAAATGAGGGCTGGTCATGGTTCTGGTAGAGCCAGTTCACATGCAAGCCACTTGGTGGTACGCAGCCATCCATGCTGATCAGTTGAGCCCCAAACAGATGATCCACAGACAAGAGAGTGTGACAGATGGCTCTGAGGGCAGCTTAGTTGGTGACTTGAAGCTGGACCTCAGCAGTGGCCCTTGTCTGGTCCTGGCCATCTGCCTGGTGCAGCCTTGCCTGAGGCAGGGGACTCTCTGTTTCAAAGGCTTGTGCTTCTCTTGTATCTGGTCTCGTTATCCAGTGTGGAAGGCAAGGCTTGCTGCCCCAAACTGCAACCTGCTCAGTGTCTGATGGCTTGATTGCAGTGGAGTCCAGGTCCCCTCCTTAGATCCTTGAACTTTGTTTTTATCAGTCTACCTTGTTCTGAGGTGACCAGTGTTCTTTTCAGTTTTTTATGAGAAATTGGTTAAAGGTTTACAGAGTAGATCACACTCCACTCAAGAATTGCCATGTGTTTGGGGTGAATATTTACTGAGTACATTGGTTTTCCTTACACATTTTGTTTGATGCTGTTAATTGCAGTCCCCACATATAACATCACTCTCCTGGACCTTCCTGTGTGCTGTTTGTATTCCTTCTCTTGTCCTAACCCTTCCTGCTCCCAGAACTTTGTCCTTGGACAAATGCTGCCCTTTGGATCTCAAGTGGTTGATTGTTCTTAGGAGTATGTTCCTCTCCAGTACTGTTGTTCATTTCATAGACCTGTCTGTTGTTTGAAAATGAGTCTCTATCCAGCCAATATACTTGGCCTTGTTTATGGTTTTGAATTTTGTTGCACCTGCCCCCCCCCAGTCAGGACCTTCTGTGTCACCTCTTTCCAGGTAGTGCTGTATGAGCTGAGCACCCTGCCATCTCCAGGTCATGGAGTATGAGAATGTGGGATCTGAGAGGGTGTGTGAGCTGAGCACCCACTCATCTCCAGCTCTTGGAGGGCGGGAGGGGGTGGGGAGGTGGTGGTGGTGGTGGTGAGCTGAGCACCTTCCTATCTCCAGGTCATGGAGGCTGAGAATATGTGAGCTGAGCACCCTCCCATCTCCAGGTCATAGAGTCTGAGGGTGTGTGAGCTGAGCACCTGCCCATCTCCAGGTCCTAGATCTGAGGGTGTGTGAGCTTTGCACCCTCCCATCTCCAGATAATAGAGATTGAGGATGTGTGAGCTGAGCACCCTCCCGCTCCAGCTCATGGAGGCTGAAGATGTCTTGCCCAGTTGTCCTTTGGACTAATTGTCTCATGCATCGTGGTTTTTCCTCATTCTTATTTGTTCTGGATGGGAACTAGTTTTTCCTAAGTATATGACTTGAGCCACCTGCCTCAGAATTATCTGGGCTGTTTGTTAAAATCTATATTTCCAGGCTCAGCTCCAGACCTAGAGGTTAGCATCTCTAGGGGTTTGGGGTCATGCTTATAGCACCACCCCAGGTGAATGTGATGTTCACTAGGACCCAAACTGTCACCCACCCATCCTGTCATCCTGAAGGGCTGGGAAGTGTTCTCACAACTGAGTGTTGCCAGTCCTCCAAATTAGCAGACATTGTCTGACCAAAATGAGGAAGAGCCAGTCGGTGACTCTAGTGGAAGAGGGAAAGGGGAAGATAAGGCCTGTGGCCTGCCTTCTATTAAGGCTTCTTCATGCCCTGATCTCATTTTGGATCAGCCTGCATTCTTTCCATTTGCCTCTGGGAGCCCTGCCAGTTTGTATAACTGTCAAAGGATTGGAGGTGTTTGTCTGGTGAGAATTGAAAAGTCTAGTAGTAATAATAATAATAATAATAATGGTGTTACAGTGCTTTGAGGAAATACAGGCTTCTCTCTGGTGTGTGGTCCCTGTCAGAGGTTTCCCTTCATCATGTACCAGGACTCTGCCCTGGTACTCTGTGCACATTGGCCCTTCTGCTCTCACATCTTCCTTTTCCTTGGTTTAGTCATCACTGTAGTGACATGTCCCCTTAGAGGCTTTGCAGTCCTGTAGAAGGCACTGAGGTTGGTCGGTCTCCAAGACTGTCGGGATTGTGTTGTATGAATCACTCTCATTTCTCCCACTGCTGACTGGCACTTTAGCTTTATCCAGAACATTCACTCAGTGCTGTGTGTCCCTTTGCTTTTGCAGTTCACAGAATTTTGTTTTGTTCTTCATTTGGTGTATGGGTTCATACCATAAAAAGGAAAATGTGGATATTTTAATAGTTGTTGTTGTTGTTAAGTGCTGTCGAGTCACAGGCGACTCATAGCGACCCTATGAAGGAGAGTCCTCGACGCTTGGGTGCCTTTCATCCTCTCTCCAGGTTCATAGGTTTCCAGAGGCAAGTTATTATGGAAGTGGATGCCATTCCTCCTTCCAAGCTTGTTTTAATCGGGGAACTCCACCCCACTCTCCGTGGAAAGTTGCGGTTAGCAATTTAAATTTCCACAGCTAGAGCAGAAATAAATATCAAAGTCCAGTCTACCATTTTTCCTAGCTTATTTTGTACTCTCCTGGACATTTGTATACTCTGCTCCCCCTGTTTTCAGTCAGGGCTCCCTAGAAACACAGGCTTCATAATAATAGATCTCTTATGTGGGGCCTCCTCAAGTTATGAAAGGAATTTGCTTAAAGGCAACTGATTCAGTCGTGTATAAATATTTCATAGCGTCTAGATTTGGGCACTATAGCCTAACCACGTTGTTATGTAAAATTCACTATCATATGACTGAATGAAGAATCTCTGTTCTTAGCCTTTTTTGCTATCATAACTCTAAAGTTAATAGGCTGTTCTGACCAGCCCAAAGCAGGTTGTGTGCCTTCAAATTGGAACCATCCCATAGGTGACCGTTTGGAGGCTATAAATCATGTGGGAGGAGATTGTCTTATCTCTCTCCCATGGAGTAGCTGGTGGATTTGAACCACATGCATTTTCTGACCACTCAGCTACCAGAGTTTCCTGGTTAGTGAGTTAGCATGTCTAATTCTAAGGGTCTTTATAAAGGGACTAGAAGAGCATGGCAACTATGGGTTTCCTCTCCCACCTAAGTGAATCTTACTAGAAAGAGTAGGATGGAGGTGTGGGAGCGATGACCCTGGGCTCTTGGTACTGGCCTGGTGGTTTCTTCACCTCCTCTGAGGCCAGCTGTGAGCAGGAACTGAGACATCTACCTCCATCCCTCCCCTGGTGTCTCAGGACTGCAGAGCAGCAGGAACAAGCTCCTTCCCAGGTGAGGACTCCCTGCCCCTCAGAGTCACCTGGTCCTGAAGGTTTGATTCTTCCCCACCCCCGCCCCCAGATTTCTGCATGAATCCTCAGACCATACTGCTCCTGCGAGTCATTGCTGCCTTCTGCTTCCTGGGCATACTATGCAGTCTCTCTGCTTTCCTCCTGGATGTCTTTGGGCCCAAGCATCCAGCCCTGAAGATCACTCGTCGATATGCCTTTGCCCACATCCTCACAGGTAACCCAGGGCTGCTGATGGGGGGCTGTGGGGAGCAGGAACAGCCCTGGGATGAGATGGGGGGGTATGCTGTGTGGGGTTGCAGGTGGAGATGGACGGTTTCTGTGAGCAGAGGGTCGGGGTATGCTGTGTGAGGTTATAGATGGGGATGGAGAGTTCCTGTGAGCAGGTACTGTTCCAGGTGCTGCTTTGAGCTCTGTCTATTTTCCCGGAGCACCTGGGTGTCTTGGCAGCTTGCTTCAGTCAGTTCATGTGCATTTTCTAGGACCACAAGCCCATACAGCCCCACTGTAGAGAGGTAGGATTATTAGAATACCACAAAGAATTCGGGGGCTCACAGGCCTCAGCTGGCAGTGAGGGCACACAGATGCTTGTGTCTGCATGTGTTCCTTACACCTGGCTTCATCCAGGCTCCTCCTCCACCTTCCTGCTCCTCTGTTTGTACCTGGCTTCTTTCTCTCTGCCCTCCTGATGGGGTCACTCTGTTTATTTCATTTCAGCATCCTTCCTCTGAGACCTCTCAGTGGCCTTAATATCTCAGTTATAAATTCCTAACAAGAGAGACTTGCCCGTGTGAGGCCAGCCATGTGTGCTCAGTCCCTACCTGAGGGTCCTATAGACAAAGAACCCCCCTTGTGGACTGGGCACCAGGCAGATTCTCTGAAAAGGGGTGAGGGAGTAAGGTTCCTTGAGTGTCCTGGCATTGGGTGCCCACTGACCTTTCCTGTGCTGTCGTCTGTCCTCAGTCCTGCAGTGTGCCACTGTCATTGGCTTTTCTTACTGGGCTTCTGAACTCATCTTGGCCCAGCAGCAGCAGCACAAGAAGTACCATGGTTCCCAGGTCTACGTCACCTTTGCCGTTAGCTTCTACCTGGTGGCTGGAGCTGGTGGAGCCTCAATCCTGGCCACAGCAGCCAACCTCCTGCGCCACTACCCTACGGAGGAGGAGGAGCAGGCGCTGGAGCTGCTGTCTGAGATGGAAGAGAATGAGCCGTACCCAGCTGAGTATGAAGTCATCAACCAGTTTCAGCCACCCCCGGCCTACACACCATAGCACCAGCCACTGGAGTCCCTGCCTCAGCTCCCTGTCCCCAACACCACAGCTGCAGGAGCTCCTTTCCCCAGCAGGCCTCACTGTAGCACCCCAAAAATCATCTCTCAGCCTTCCCCCAGAAGGACCCTGCCTTTAGAATTGTTCATATCTCAGCTCTTGAAAACTGGGGTACATAGATTTGACACAATGCACTGTCATCCCACTTGCCCCCTTCTCCATTTATGGTCACTAATCATAACCAACTAGGGATGATCATCATGTCATCTCCTCCCTTCACGGACCATATTTGGGACTAGTGACAGAGCACAGTCCCAGACAGAAGTGTCATCAGGGCTCGAGGGAAAGGGGTTGTACCCTACTAGCTTGCTTTATAAGGGTCAGGGTTCTCCCATGGCTGTGGTTTTGGGCTGATCACTTCATCCCTTCTTGAATGCTCCAATACCAGGCCACCCGCTCCATGGGGGCCTCTGCACTTTAGGCTTGGAAGTAGCTGTTGGGAAGTGAGGCAGTCATTCTCCGGACCCCACCCTTGCTTTTCATGGCTGGGCCCAGATGGGAAGAGCAGAGCCTGGCCTGAGATGGGTGCCCTAGTGCCCACCAAGTCAGAGCAAACGGGTGAAGCCTCCCGGCCCTCTCACCTTTTACATTGTAGGTGATTTTAAAGGAGAAAAATAAAACCAAACAGCAGTAACAATACTGTCTTTAAAATTGAGACAAGGCTGTTGTAATTTTCCAGAAATATCTCCCATTCCTTTTAATTCCGCAGTATTTTAGGTCCCAGTTCCTTCCAAACCCTTAAAACTCTTTCTGCAAAACAAAGCCTCTTTTTTTCCCCCCTCCTTTCCCATGACTATGGTTCCTGGGCCTTGCTGTGGAATCTTGGGTCCCATCGCCCTGGAGGTGGTGAGGACCCTGTGGTCTGGCTGGCCGGCCAGCGTGGTGCTCCTCAGAACTGCGGCACTGAGATGTAACCTGGCCTCAGTTCAGAAGCAGCGGCCATAGCATGGCGGGACAGCCCCTGCTCTCTGCACAGGAGCCACGCCAGTGGGAACCATGACCAGTGGGACCCACAACCAGTTGGACTCGAGACCAGTGGGGCCTGCGTGACCTGACGCTGCAGAACCACGGATCAAACCAGCGGACCTGGCTGTGAGCTTTCAGGCTCAGCACGCCCCAGACTGTAACTTGGGGCTACAGCCTGCTGCATGCCCCTCCCCTTTGTGAATGTACCCTGGTCTTGCCGTGGGCTACTGGCTCCTTCTTGCCAGCTGTCATGTTAGTGGCCCACACATGACTGAATCTGACTTAATTTTTCTGCCCTGAGAGGTAGGCCATAAAGTGGGTGAAACTTGAGAGACTTTTAAGTGCGGATGCAAATGGCTGAGCTTCCTTTGTGAAATAACCAGCTTCTCTGGAATCTGCCCAGTGCTGAACTGAAAAGGAGGCAGTTCCCAGTCTCTCTCCACCCCTGAGGCCATGAGAGAGAATGGGTCTGGAGAGTGGACACTTCTGCCGGGCGGTGACAGGGCAGATACTGTCATGTGATTCCAGTGTCCCGGTCATCAGCCAGATTGACAGCAGGTATCTGACAGGCCTGCAATGTGGCAGTGGAAGACCACGCTGGTTAGGGCGTGGCTACCCAGAGTTCATTACTGTGGTGCCAGAGTGGGTCAGCATGAGCTCCCAGTCTCTCAAGTATTCAACAGGACAAAACAGCTGCCCCTTAATCCCCAAGCACAAAGCTAGGGAGCTGTGTTAGCTTGTCTCTCTGCTTCTCCACCTACGGGTGTCTGAGTGGGCCAACCAGGCATGGAACACACATGCCAGAGTGGTTGACTCCGAGGACCCAGGCTAACCCTATGGGCTGATCCGGAGCCCACTTTTATTGGCTTCCCATGCCTCTGGCCTCCTTGACATCTTTACACTGATGGTTTGCCACATAAATCCCCCCTGGTTGTGTTTTGGGTTTGTTTGTTTTTTTTCTAGAAAATAATAAAAAAACAAAACAAACAGAAACAACAAATAATGTAAACATCAATGGCTCCCTGTCATTTTTGTTGTGTTCTAATTTGGTTTCTTTCCTGACTCGAGAGAACAGAAGAAATTTATGAGACTCATAAACAAGAGAGAGAAGAAGAAGAAAGAAAGGACTTCTATGCGTTGCCTCCTCATAGTCCTGCCACCCTCGATGTCCCACTCCGTGGGCCTAAATTAGGAAACATTGTGGACCCTGAGCTTGCCTCTGCACCCCGAGTTAGTTATAGTTGAGGAGTCTGTCTTTGAGTGTCAGCAACTGTGCAGGAAGAAGTGACCCCTCTGGGTTTGGGTCTTGTAGAAGAAACAGCTTCACAACCACAGGGAGTGGTATTGTGAGAGGGACATGAAACGGAAGAGTTCCCTGTGTGATCTGTAGAAGAATCTTTAGAGTCAGTGCCAACCCTCAGGAGTTATCCCTCCTCTTCATTCATTCATGCACTCAGCTGACACAGTGAGCTCCTAAAGTGTCAGAACAAAGGCTTGGGCTCCCTGGGCAGCCCATTCAGGGGGTTTTGCTTTTCCTGAAGGAAAAAAAAAAGACATCTTTCTTAAAAGTTGGGAATGTATGCTTTCTCATTTCAGACATTTACAAAGGACCCGTGGGCTGTGGAGAAAGAACTCATAGGTGCCATGAGAGAAACATGACCTGTAGGGGCCCTGTGTCCAAGGCTTTTGTGTTAGGGGAAATGATAGATTATCCACGCTTGACACATAACACGGCAGAATGAACCAGTGGTCTAGTGGACCAGCACTGTGGAAAACCACTGGGGACCAGGAGGGGAGGTTGGTCTGATGTGGGTATCCTCAAGGGCATTTTGAGGTGAGAGTTTAGGGTGGCAGGGCGAGGGCATAAGAATGTGCCAGAGCACACCTGCTGTGACAGTCAGTGTGGAGCTGTGAGGTGAAGGGAAAGACCAGCCTGTGTTATGACAGGTGTCTGTCTGAAGGAGGGTCTAAAAAGTGAAAAAGCCTACCAGGTTCTGGGAAGTCTGTGTTACCCAGCAGCTCACATCAGAGCATGGGCAAAGAGAGGGCACTAGGGACAGAAGCCTGGGAAGAAGGGTGGTTTTAAAGTAGAGAATGCTTCCAGCTGATACCCACAGAAGTCCACACTCAAGTCTCTATAGTAATAGTGCTTGTGTACTATAAAGTCACAAAAGAACTAATAAACTTTGAGACCTTTTTTTTCAAATAGCTTATACTCCTCACCTTGCTTTTTCATGGTGGTTTGTGTTTGTGTTTGTGTTTTTTTCCAGGGGTTGACATTTTAACAAGGGCAGGAGTATGTGGAAGAAGGAAGACATCTCTTTCAGTGCATCCACTTGAAGTGAAGTTACCCGATTAGGGATGCTGGTTTGAGATTAGGTTCTTTGCTAGGCTATGGGGGAGATGTATGGCTTTGTTGCTGGGGGTGGAAGGAAGGATACAGTTTGCTTAGCAAAAAGATTTCATTGTTCCCTTAGAACTGAAAGATGTATGTTGGACTGGCCTGCCCACTCAGCCAGTGGGGAAAAGGAAGTGATGAGAGACTTGGTAAGATGTTTAAGGAGATACTGCTCAGCTCAGCCATGTGTCAAGGAGTTTGTTTAGTCGTGAAAAAGAACTTTTCAAAGAAAACGGATTTGAGATCTCTTAAGGGACCTTCCTCTTCCTGTGCAATTAACTACCTCTGAAAACGAGGGTCAGCTATGGGTCGGTTCCAACTCTGTGGTACACAGCTACAACCAGGTTTCTTAATGGGACACACAAGTCCCTGTTTGGAAGGTTCCTTATCTTTACTTCTTTACTTCCCATCTCCAGCAAAACTGACTAGTAGCTCACAGCTGAAGTCTGGTTACACAGTGTAGCCAGATCCCACCCCTTGGCTTACTGCTACCAAGAGGAATATTTCCTTCTATATTAACTTCTATATTTCCTTCTATAATTAAGTGGAGCGGCATCCACTTCCAAAATGGCTTGCCTCCGGAAACTCTATGTGCGAACAGTGCTCAGGCTGTTCGTTCATAGGGTCGCTATGAGTCGTCTATGACTCGATGGCATTAAACAAACAACAACAATAACAACATATTAACCTAGGGTAGTGGATAGGTTTTGTTTTAGTAGTGTGTCTGCTGATTGATTTCTTACCCAGGGGCTGATTCCCTGTAAACAGGATAGCTTGAGTTTACCTGGCTTACTAACCTATGTTGTTGTTGTTGTTATGTGCCTTCGAGTCGCTTGCAACTCATAGCGACCCTGTGTACAAGAGCTCTAAATGCTGTTCTATCCTGTGCCAACCTAGCCATCTCAAACGCACTTATTCCCACCGCTCCAGTCACAGAATCGATCCATCTCACCAAAGGTCTTCCTCTCCTTCGCCTCCCGTCCACTCTACCAAACATGATGTCCTTCTCCAAGGACCAGTACATCTTTGCAACATGCCCAAAATATGTCAGATGAAGCTTCAGAATCCTTGACTCCAGGGAACACTCTGGCTTCACCCTCTCCGGGACAAACCTGTTTGTTCTAGCAGTCCATGGTATATTCAACACTCTTCTCCAGCACCACAACTCAAAGGCATCAATCCTCTTTCTATCAACCCTATTCACTGTCCAACTCTCTGATGCATAGCACATAATTGCGAAGACTATAGCCCTGATCAGGCACACCTTAGTCTCCAGCCTGACATCGTTGCTCTTCAGTACTCTTGAGAGGTCCCTCACAGCCAACTTTCCTAATGCAATTCGTCTCCTGATTTCCTGGCTGCTGTTAACCAAGAGTGTTGACTGTGGAGCCAAGTAAATGAAAACTGTTAACTATCTCAATCTCTTCATCATCCATGCTGATGCTGTCAATTGGCCCAGTGGTTAGAATCTTTGTTTTCTTGACGTTGAGCTTCAGTCCATATAGGAGGCTGTAGTCCTTGATCTTCTGCAGCAAGCCCCTCAGGTCCTCCTCAGTTTCAGCAAGCAGGGTTGTGTCAT